TTTTTATATAATTTTGTAATTCTAAAAATCCTAAATTATTTTAATTTTTATGTTGGATTATTATTTATTATAAATTTTAAACTTTGATGTGTAGTTTAATAATTATATTGTTAGGTTACGTGAGTATTTGAACTTTTATTTTATTTTGTTGGGTCTATGAATTCTATCAATTGTTTAAAGGCTGTAACTTATATGTGAAGTGGCAGTGAGGAGCTATGGGTAACGAACCAGCATTAAATTTTGAAACATCAATGAATCAGTCTTATCCTGTGGCTTTGAAAATAATATTTTATATTGGATTTTTTATTACTTTTGCTGTCAAATTATCGATTCTACTCCTATATACACGGCAAAATCATGTTTCCTATTCTTTCCCCGGACCCTGCTACTAAGAAAGACATTTACATCTTAAAATATCTTATATATGTAGGCAGAAACAGAGGAAATTGTCAGATTTATCCTCACATGAGCAAGAGTAATAATACAATTTATAAAGCTACAACATCCAGTATAGCAAGCAAAATCCTACAAAAAGAAAAGGGGAGTCAAAAATTCCTAACCAATTAAACCAACCCGAACCAAATCCGTATAAAACGAATAGGGTCATATTTAATAGTGTCGAAAATGTCATTAAGATTTAACCCTAAACATATATGAAATCATTTCATAGAATCATAGCTTTATTTGGGCTCGGGTTACACCAACTCAATTCTATTCTGGATGTAACTATTATTCCTTTGGAATTAGAAAATATATTACTTCAAGAAATTTCAATGGAAAAAAAGGACCGGAGTATAACATTTACTGCATCAAAACATGTATGTACAGTATGTGTGGTGTTGAGGTGCGTATATCTTTTTCTTTTTTTCAGTCGGTTGTGGTGTCTGTAATATGTAAATGTGATCATAAATTGTATCTTTTTAAGCATTTTGCATTTTAAGTCACTGTACATATAAGTTATTTACTAATACATCACAACATTAATTCATTTCACATTTGAACCCAGCTAACCCATATGTTAATAGGGTCGGGTTTAGTGTTTACTAAACTTAAAAAACTCAACTGACCCAAAACCCGACTAAGACATAACTTAATAGGGTTGGGTTTAGGGTCTACTTATATATATATATATATATATATATATATATATATATATATATATATGAAAAAAGTTTAATAAAGAACTGATATTAATCAAAGAAGCAATGAACCAATCTAAAGCGTCATAATTTAAAGCGATCAACGAAAAGGAAGAGTTGTAGACTTTTACAATGGACGCACATGCACCCATGGACAGAGACAGTACCGGGGCTGCCGGATGTCTCCCCGCCCCCCTAATCCCATCTCCTTTAATGTAAAATAAACTTAGTTTGGCACACCTAAGCCTAGTTCTAAGCCGATTTCCTCCAAAACTACTAAGTCGTATAAAGGGTAAGGCATTGAAAGTTTAAAACCCCACACTTTCAATTTCTTTTAATTATAATACCATTTAAATTGTTAAAAGTCGGTGGCGGTGGCCATTTAACGACAACTCCAATTTTTATCTTTTTTATGCAAGATTCCTAAGTTTATTTATCAATAACATAGAAGAAGCTAGTTTTAACTTTTTGTAATCTATAAATTAATAATAATTTTATTAGGAGTAATTTGGTCTTGTATAATTAAATGATAAATCAGGAGCAACTAAAGAGCCATTAGTTTTTTTTTCCAAACAAAAAAATAACTTTTATTATCCACATAGCATCTTGTTAGTGATAATAATAGGAAAGATAATATAGGCCTACAACCTAAAAGAAGAGTAATGTTGAAGAACCAGGAAATGTAAACCTAAAAAATATGATATGTTAAATTTAAGAGATAAAATTTGATTCTATAATTGGTGATCGTGGAGAAAAGTTTTCGATCTTATTACGATGTATGCCCCCTTATTAAAATCCTGGCTCCGCCTATGCATGCACCGGATTATAACAAAACTCACTTTTTTTCATTTAATTTATTTTAAGCCATGTTTTTTATCAAAAAAAAAATCAAATATATCATTGTTCATGATTTTTCGTTCTCTTTCCATAGAAATTTATATTGATATAAAAAAATGTTTTTTTAAACCACTTCATTTCTTTGTTTTTTGAAAAGTTAAGGCCTATATATTATCGAAAAATTTTAATAAATATATCAAAAGACATATTTTTTGGTACTCTTTAAACATAGAATCATATAAATGTAACAAAAACAAAAACAAAAAAAAAAAAAAAAATTCAGTATAGATTCGCATTGTGAATCTGCTCAAATTCACAATGTGAATAATATCAGATTCACGTTGTGAATGTTAAAATTGAAATATTTACAGTTCAAATTCACACCGTGAATCTGAACTGATCGATGTTTTTTTTTAATCGATGTTGATGTTAATTAATAGAGAAAAAAAATTTAGTATAATTAGTTTTTTTTAGATAAAAATAAACATAAATATTGAAAAAAAACAACAAAACGAAGTTGGTTTTTTTCAAAAAAAAAATTGTTTTTTATATATTAACATTGATCTTTATCGAAAGAGGACGAGAAATCATGAACAACGGTATATTTGGATTTTTTTTTTCCGATAAAAGACATGGCTTAAAAAAATTTAAACGAAAAAAATAAGTGGGTTTTTTGGTAAACTGGTGAGTTTTATGGTATAATCGGGTGTATGTGTGTCCAATGTACAAATGTACATCCATTTCCTTGGTCTTTGATCGTTTTAAATTTCGACGCTCACGATTGGTTCATTGGTTACTTGTTAATAATTGTTCTCTATCGAACCTCTCTATCTCTCTCTCTCTCTCTCTCTCTCTCTCTATATATATATATATATATATATATATATATATATATATATATATATATATATATATATATATATTGTTGGAAGTGTTCGCATATGACCATTATGACTGGATAACAAGTTACAGACGGTTATAACGGTCATATGTGAAAACTTTTAACAAGTTCGTTACCTAGATGTGTGCAAAAAAAAACTTAAATGTGAACGAAACAAAAAGGTAATTACCCTGATAATTCAATTTTTTTGTTTTTTTTACCTTATAAATTTGATTTGGTATAAAATTTAATCTAAATGGTAAATATTTTTAAAACCACACCATTTTTATAAATATCTTTTTAAAATACATTACTTTGGTATTTTTTTTTCTAAAAAAAAGAACCTCCAAATTTGACAGGAAAAAGATACATCATCGTTTTATTGAATTTTATTGTTTAAGATATTAAATATAAAAATTAAAATTTATTAGAGAGTAAAATACCAGAGATAAAAACCAATATCATGAAATAAAATATCATATTCAATGAATTTGCTCCATGTATGGGTATTGCTAAGATCTTCTTTGGACTGAGGACGTGCCAACCCGTTCACATGGAGGAGGCGGCAATATTTTTTAACAATGGGTTGCGCGGGGCGATTAAGGACATTGTGGTTTGTGGTGGCCCTTTCTTTGGTGACATACAGATTACAGTGACGAATTGTTTCCTTACCCATTAGGTTTGGTGGGTTGGGTTTATACTCGGCAGTAGAGGCTACCTCATATGTTTTTGTCGCCTCAAGGCCCCAATCTTAGGTATTACAAGACCACATCTTACGGGATAGCGGCATATATGGTATGGATTCTGATTATGATTGTGCCTTGGCTTCTCTTCGTAACAAGCTTCCGGATTTTTGACCTTAGCAGTTTCACTACTAAAGACACCCCCCCCCCTAAATCCCAGAATACACTGGCGAGTGCCATTTTTCGTATAATTGTCCAATATATGGAAGTGCAGCTCGACATGACAGCTCGGTAGAAAGCGGTTCTCCAGTGCTTACGTGCACCACATGCTCAAGATTTTCTTCTAGCTATCCCTACATATGGGCTTGGACAACATATGTCTCTTGTGGAGTATCGTACTATCCTCAAATATCGACTCATGATTCCAATATTCCCAACTGACGAGATATGTTTGGTGTGTCGCAAGACATGTTTAGACTCTTTTGGAGAGCATGCAGTTCACTGCAAAGAACTCCCGGGGTTCAAGTACAGGCATGATATGGTTAGGGATGTTTTCTTTGACATATTTAAGCGTGTCGGGGTTTCTGCTAAGAAAGAGGCACCTGTGAATTTCTTGACTGGCCCGGCAGAAGGAAGGTCAACCCTCAGACCGGCTGACATTTTATTTTTGGATGGTTCGGAGGGAAACACGCATGTGTGGACCTTACAGGGGTATCCCCTCTCGTGGGCTTGAGGGTTGGGGGTTTCACGGCGGGACATGCTACTTTAAAAGCTGCTACAGGCAAAGTCACCAAACATAATATATCGTGCATGGAAAATCAATATGTGTTCATACCATTTGCATTTGATACGTTTGGTTTCCTCGCGCCGGATGCGGTAGAGCTTCTTAATAGAGTACAACGGATCATGCATAGCAATGTTATATCCACTAGATCTATAGATGTAGTTTTTAAAAGAATTAGTTTTGTCATACAAAAAGGCCTAGCAGCGTAGCTTGTTGCCTGTTTGTCATCTCAATCATTGTACGATAATAATTAAATTAATATTATTAAAAATAGCATATCATATTATAGTTAAAACAATACAAAAAATAAAAATAAACCAATAGCATTGCTTTTGTCTCGTATATATAAAGTTACTAGGTTTAAACCCGTGGAAATCCACGGATGATAAATTGAAATAGAATTATACTTTTTAATTTGTAATTAAATATAAACAATATTCATGATTAACAATTACACATGCAACTAAAAGTAATTTATGATCATAGTATAATTATATTTATATATATAAAAGTAACAATAAGTTTCATAAAATATAAAAAATATGAGTATAAATATTTTGTAACCAAGATTTAATGTCTTATTTGCGGCTATTTTAAATAATAATCACTATAGATAGTAAAACATCTTATTAGACTTATTTTATGGTAGTAAATAAAACGTAAATAAGCTTTTGTTAATGATTCACAAGGTAATATAATAGATATTTGTCGATTAATATGAAACAGGGACCATTTACGCAAATTTACTTAAACATGGAGTATAATCTGGATTTTTGTTTAGTTAGAAGATAAAACATGGTTTTTTGAAAGTACTCATCAACGCTTACATATCTGCCTGAAAGACAAACACAGGCGAACAATCTGTATAGATAGAAATCAAGAACGAAAACCAATAGTTGGGTTAAAGCTTATTCATTCATTTATGTCGATCTATTAAACTCACAAGGCCACAGATCTATTAAGGTCAGAAAAATGGGGACCGGAGACGAACGTGTTCTACAAATCGACTTCTTAGTTCACTGAAAGTTTCGATTTTTTAGAAGTAAAGAATTGCTTACCTGTAGTAGGGAGTTGGAGAATACAGCATGAATCGAGAATGCAAAAACGGAGCTACTATCGTCAAATCAAAGAGGATTCAGAGGAAACGACCTAAAATAAGGTTAGGGTTTTATAATCTTTTAATTTAGGTTTGAACTTTTGTTTTTGAAATGTTGTGGAGAGAACGATAATCTGTTTTAAAATTTTGAAAGTATTAATTTTTTTTTTTTGTTAATCATGCATGAATTTCGGTAAAAATAATAAAAATGGAATGTTTATTTCGTATTTCTTCTCTGCTATGACGACGTTAAATGAAAATATTATGAAATTCACACGCACAATTGCAGCCTTAAGATGGGAGCATTCACAGTAGGAGTGCTTGGATACCCAGATAGTCTTTGATACAAATAATAACTCCTACTCATAACTTGAATTCATTGCTTTGACTATGATACATGATGTAATGTGAAATGCACATGATGTGCAAACGTGGCCATTGGTGTAATACACATATCATTTGGTAGTCATTTTTTGTTTGATTCCTTTACTTTACTGGCTTTATACTTTTCAAGTCGTTCTATATATAAGTTGTTTTAATAAATTATGTGTTAGTGTAATTTGGTAAAATTGATGGATTTTATTTTGTTTTAATTTGGGGCAAATGGCAGTAAGATCTAATCAGTAAAACTAAAATTTGTAAATGGAATATTGGAGTTTGTTTGGAAAGAGAAATTTGACAGATTGCAAGGTTTCAGTTGAAACCTTGATAGATGTTCAAGGTTCAGAGAAAAAAAAAAGGTAAATTTCATTTATAAATTTATAGCTTAGGTTGCAAAAAGAGCCCTTTTAACCTTTATAAAAGTGCTCTAATTGTTCTGCTTGCATTTATAAGTAAAAGGCATAGTATCACAAGGGTATTTTCGTCATCATTTTGGTACATAAGATTTAGTTTGTTCTATATTAGATTTGTAAAAAACTAACTATTTAATTGACACTTATAATCAACAACGAAAAAAATAAAATTAAAATTATATATAAAAAAAGCAAACAGGCAAAAAGAAACAACAATGAACGGAAACAGTAAAAATACATACATCAAACAAAAAGGTAGTACATCACTATTTAATTGATTTTGATGGATACAAAGACCCATTGTTATCATGTGTTTAAGTTCATAAGGGGTAAATAAGGGGAAACAGTAAATTGAATTTCAAAATTTATTGATTACATTAAATTTGACACTTCTAATCATCAACCAATAAAAAATTAAAAAAAAATCAAAAAAAAATTCCAACAGCCAAAAAGAAAGTACATTGCTATTTAACTGATAATGTAAAAAGAAAACATATACTTGTTTTAATTAAAGAGTAATTTAACAGTGGGAGGAGTATTTTAGGCATTTATAGCATATAAAAAGAAAACATATACTTGTTTTAATTCCACAAATCGTGATATAGGTACATACTGAAGAAACGAAACAACAATGAAGGGGAAACATTAAAAATAAATACTTCAACCAGGTAAAGTATATTGTTGCTATTCATCGGAATGGTTAACAGGTTAAAAAAATAAGAATTCAATAATCAAAAGTGGGTTGATATTACTTGTAAAGTATATTGTTGTGCAATATTTAACTACATGAATAAGTGGAAACAGTAAACTGACCTGCTTGATTATGCAGTCCACAACTAAAAAGTCGATGAGTATACCCTGGATATAGGAAAAACAGATTGCAAACACAAAAAAAATCGATGAGTTTACCCTCGATATAAGAAAAACAGAGAGAAAACAATGTAGTGTCGCTTACCCGATTGATATTCGATTGAAACAGGAACGTAAACAGTAATGTTAACGTGTATATATATTCGATTGATATTGGATTGTATCATTTATTGGGATTGATATTCGATTGCCTTATTTATTGGGATTGATATTCCTAATTTGTTGCAGATTTATATGGTATGATTGAAAATTTAAATTTCAAATTCCTGATTTCCTCATTTAAATTTTTCCTGATTACATTATTTTTTTCTAATTTACAGTAATTTTCGAATAGATAGATTTATCACATATTTTCTTCCGGATTTGTTGCACATTTATATGATATAATTGAAATTTTGAATTTCAAAAATCCTGATATCCCTATTTACATTTTTACTGAATTACAGGATTTTTTTTCGAATTGACAGTATTTTCGAAAATAAGGGCAAAGTTGGAAATTCACTTAGAACTCTTGAGCGGGAAAACTGAAGCTGGAGTTGCTAATGTAATGCCACGTGGCCATTTGGGTATTGTTTGATTAGAAGAGAAGAATTAATAATTATGTTATCAAAAACAGTTCCTAAACCAATTTAAATGTTCATAAACGGTCATAAATATTATTTTATGAAAATTTAAATTAATTTATTAATATTAAAAATATTATATCCGACAGTCTTATCAAAATTGACTTATCAGGATAATTATATTTTTTTGTTAGTAACTTTTTTTTATACACGTAACACAAACTATCAGCCTAGCTTCACTACATAATTAATAAATTATGAACTAGCACCACCCTCTTTTTTCTTACTAGTGAATTTATTTTCTTTATACGGAAGTGGAAAAGTAAGCCATTTTAATATACCGTGTTCTTTTTACTAGTGTTTCAGTTTTAACATACCTTTTAATATCATGGTAAAAGCGACATGTGCTCTTCATAGCAAATATTAATTCAAGTGAGGGAAACAAACTTTTAATATTTAAGTTTTCCATGGTCCAAAATTCACAAACATATAAAGACTCCAATTATGTACACCGCAACCAAGCAAAAACTACCAATCACACCAGAGCTTACAAACACATGGCCTCAACCCGCTTCAGCAAACAAATATATATCGAGCGCTTGTTCAAGGCACCACACAACACATAACCACGTTTTTTTTTTGACTAAAACATTGACTCCAAATACTGATTCCTATGCCTCCGATTAAACTCCAAAACACTCCCATAAGTCCGATCCGATATCCCAACAAACAAAGCCTCACTATCTGGGCTAAATGAAATCCCACCAATTTCACCAAACACATCAATCTCTTGACCCGACCCGTACCCACTTTCGGTATCAAATACATGAACAAAGTCCGCGGGTTCAGCCATAGCCATGAACCTACCATCTCCACTAAACCTAATCCCCCTAATTGCACCCATTCTTCCCTTAAACACCATCAAAGACTTACACAAATTCCTCACATCCCATAGCCTACAAGTCGTGTCTTGGTTACCCGTTGCCACAACTTGTCCATTTGGATGCCATGCAGACGCAAACGAGTAGTCTAAATGCCCTTTCATTTTCCCAATTTCCTACATATCATCAAATCAAATTTTATCTTTATCTGTATCTGTGTGGATCAGCTCACGGGTTGCTGTAAGAATATGAGAGAATTGGTGTTTTAATTAGAAAGTAGTAAAACTTACTTTTCCTGAATGGGCATCGGCTAGTAAGCATTCGGTGCTGTCCCCGAGGACCGCTAATAATTTACCATCGGGGCTCACGGATGTGTCCTACACATATATCATTAACCATGAGAATAATAATAATATTTAAAGAGTAAATTACATTTTTGGTCCCCGAGTATAGCTGATTTTTTCAATTTTGGTCCTTATTCGAGATTCTAGTAACATTTTTGGTAATTTTCATCCCAACGACACTTAGAAAGACCTAAATAAGAACCAAATTTGCAAAAGAAAACTTTTTCCGACCAAAATTGAAAAAATCATCTTACACATGGTGACCAAAAATGAAACTTATTCAATGTTTTATTTAAAAAAAAGGAAAATTTGATAAATTATCTTTACTCACATTAACGGACCATGGAAACTTAAAGCTATTCGTACAAGTAAAACTTTTTGCATCAAAAACACGTATAAGTGCATCATTGTTGGCGGTCATGACCCTCGTTGACCCACTGCACATAAAGTAACATGTTCAGTTCTGTTCTGTTTTGTCCTGTACTGTCATATTTGGTCAAAGTCAAACTGACCTTGAACTGTAAGATATGTCGACTGAGTTAGTTATGGCATTTTCATCGTCTGCGATTTTTGTGGCGAACGAGACTCCGGGTTTGTTGAGATACTATTTTTATTTATTTACACCGAGAAAAATATTGATTAAAATTTATAGATTTAGTTTTAAATTATAAAATTTATGGATTTTTAAAAGTGTACCTTGCAGATTAGTTCACCGTGAAAACCACCGGCAACTATCAAGTCATCCCTGACAGCCATTGTGCTGACCTGGACTCGCGACAGTGAACGAGAAAAGGACCCGGGGTATTTCTGTAATTTGACATATTAATAGAGTTGATGAGCGAAATTTCAAGAATGAGATTTGATAAAATGGTATAATGGTTAGACTTAGATAACTACATACCAAAGTAGGTAATACGGGCATAGCGACATTAATTACTTCTTTGCCCCTCTTGAGAAGTGAAGACCAATGCATGACTGAGTAGTTTTGCATAAGGTAGAGATCGTGCTTTGAGGTTGCCCATAAAAGATTCCTCAGCTGAAAGAATTTACAATAAATAAGAATTAACCCCTGGGCAAAATGGTAAATTCACTCATCTTACTCATAAGCAACTTACGAACATGTATTTTTGGACTATAAACATTATATAAAGAATCATCTAAAGCATGGAATTGATACATATGTAGCACAAGGAAAATTAAATAGCAATGTACTAATAAAGTAATAACTAATAAGAAACATGTGAAGGAATTAACTAAACTAAATATATGAAACGAATATTTGAAAGTGGGTCCAGGTTGCCAGCTAAGCACTAAAACGGGTGAAGTGAAAAAAAAATGTCTACATGAGACAATTTTTTTCATAAATGTTAGAATGTGACCCTGTCATACCATATGAAGAGCTTCTTTATCCACATGCTGCTTGATTTAAATGGCACCCTGCTTCTATGGCTGAAATATAAACGTGATACTGGGTCCCACAACATGTATTATTATTAAAAAATAAAAAATAAAAAATAAATAAATAAATAAAGCCTATTATAAAACTAAAACAACCCACCACTTGATTAAATGGAAACAGAAGCCTATACTTGACACAACTAGAATAGCTTCTGGCTTTTTTCAATGATAAGGGTATTCACGTCTTTTGTCACATTGATTTCAAAGTATAATGCATGTTCTTTTAGCAACCACACGTTAAGTATAATTATATGATTAATGGATTATAGTGAAAACATGTGTGATAGATGGCTGCTATTGAGGGACATTAACACAAATATAAGACCCTTTGGGCCCACATCTGCATCCAAATGTTTGTTAGCAGAATGTAGAATTAATTATTAAACTCAACATTCAAAGTACAAACATAAGAGTCCAATTTATATATACCTCCCCAATGCTTCCATGTCCACAACATAGCATAAGAATGATATGGTCAGCTGTTGGGATTAAGAACCAACTTTTGCACAATTTCAGGATTGCACATCTTATTTAAAACTCTCATCATATAACAATGCCAATGCACTTATTTTAATCTGCACAAAAAGGATTTTTAGTGAATACAAGACTCAGGCTCAATTGAGCCTATACATTAAAACCAAGTCTCATATCATATCAAGTTCTTGTCTTTATTATCAATATCAATGTTATAAAAGAAACTCCACAACTAAATACCAAATGGTGCTCACTATAGAAACAGAAAGTCTGTGCATAATGTGAAACTGACTTGAGCTCATAGAATAAATGAATGATAAAAACTTCCACACAGATACTACTTCAATACACAGACATATAAATAGAAGGAAAATTAAACCAGGAGTGAAGTTGTATACCTGAAAATGAACGACTGTTGGCTTCACAAGCCTTGTATTGAACTGAAAATCATAAAGAGTCTGACTTTTGTCTACTTTCTTGCACACCTGTAAATTATATAACAAGAAGAAACACAAGAATTATATAAGGTACAAACAGGAATGGGAAAAAAAGAACACAAGAATTATAAGTTTTAAATATACCTTTTCTAAATGTTCACGAGAGTGTGGAATGTTCTCATAGTTTTTGTATTGCTTTAATCTTGTTTCTCTGTACTTGTCTCTTGTAAAATTGAGCCTCTCCCATGGAATCCCTTGTATATCTTTCCCGTTTCTAGCTTCTTCAGCTGATGTATCCGTTTTTGACTTGTTCTGATAAATCAAAAAACCTCAACTGTAAATGAAGATCAAGAATTTCAAGAAATAATTCTACTTTATGTTTACTGAAAGCATATGTTATACCTGGTCAAAATCGTCCTCGAAATCTGAGTCCATTGAATCTTCGGCACAACTTTTTTGCAGGCGATTGTTGTTATTGTTGTTGTTGTTGTGCTCAAAATCGGTCATATCATAATATTCATCGTCAATCATATACTCAAGTTCTTGGTTCTGAAACTGCGCCATATTGTCCTACAAATATTAGGTCTATTTAAACAAAATTTGTTCCCCTTTTGCACAAGAAAAGGGTAAAATCATCTTAACAAAGGGGTATTTAGTGAAAGGAAAGAACGAAAAAGAGGTATGATTTGATTTATAAGGTTTAGAAGACCAATTTTCAGCTTCAGAGTTGATATGATTTATTGAAATTTTTACGAAGGCAGACAAACCCTTATCAAATACATATATTAGATCAATTTGGAATCAACTTTTTTGTTTAAAAAAACACATAAATCAGGAACTTGAAAAATAATTAGTTTGGCCTCAAAGTAAATTAAATGGGGAATAACGTCGATAGGATTCAGAAGCATAGAGAAAATAGCCAAAACGGTATAACCAGAATGTATTGGGCTTCCAGTCGCCTGCACGCATAATGTACAACTTCTCATGCATAACGTACAACTTGCAATGCATAAAGTACAACTCGCAATGCTTGACGTACAACTTTGCATGCATTGATCATCGCAGGTGTGGATGAAATATAATCACATACGACAAGACGAACATAGATGAACAGAAAAATACGCATTCACTTCACCAATGTAATTAGAAACCAATCGGCCAACAAAACTGATAAAATTAAAGCAAAAAGAGCAAAACAATACGTAACGCCAAATTCACGATCATAATATGACGAACAAGCTACATGAATCACCTTATGCTTTGAGGACAATAAATTTTACTTCTAATCAAAGCATAAATAAGATTTACTAAAAAAAGTCCACGAGCTAGTCAAAACTGGAGGATCTGTCAACGAACATAACGAAATGAAATCAACAAAGGAAAAATTATAAGCAAAAGCAAAAAAGCACACGACAGCCTAAATTCACCACTAATATTCAGTTTTAAACCACACAGATTATGAACGGGCTAAAGTCTTCGCGTTAGGCTACAAACAACAAAACAAATTACTGCAAAAGAAAAGAATACCTAAAATACGATGAATTACGTCAAACTGGAGATCTTACTGGTAAGATAGGATGAGATCAGCCACCGGAGGTTAAAAATTCCGGCTAAGATTGATGGAAAAGTCCGATCGGAGACCAGAATGAACAAATGTATGTGAAATAGATGAAAAGAAGAGTCTGGAATGGAAGAGAGAAAACTGAGGATTTAGCAAAATGGAGTTTGTATAGTGCCGAGTGGGCCATACTTATAGAAGGAGGTTCGGGTGAAGGTTTGGGACTGTGGGTCCCTGGACGTCGACTTACGACTGAGACTCGTGACTCGACCCTACATAGAAGTTCATTAGTCATCACCCGTCCTTTTTGGGTTTTACTTTAAGTAAATAAATACTAGTAAAACTTTCTTTTAAATAAACCAAAATCATTTATTTATTTGTTTCAAAAAGACATCTAAACATCACAATAGACTAAAAAATAGTCAATACGGAAAAAGCCTTCGGGAGATGCAGTGCAGTCAAGTCGGGATCTTCTCTTTGGAACTGCAAGTATCTAAAAACATTTTTAAACATAAACAAGCTTAGTGAGTTTCCCAAAATACTACATATCATACAAACAATAGTGAATGATATGGGTCGAATCATAGTCTTACAGTCACTTTTTGCCATGGGCCAAATCATGGTCTTTCCTTGCAATGTCAAGGGCCAAATCCCGGTCTTACAAACAAGTATCGGGGGTCACATCCTGGTCTTCCATGCAAGTATCACAAAGACAACTAACATCCTACATACAAATGTCAAGGGCAAGATCTTGATCTTTCATACACTTGTCAGGTCCAGATCATGGTCTTTCATACATATGTCAGGGGCCACATCTGACCCTTAAGGGGTGTCTTAAGTCATAAAGTTCCTGACTTTATGAATTTGCATGACTTAATGAGGTCCAAACCATAATCTAAACTTCCTAATCTTCATAAAAGGTCACCAATACTTGTATGAGAGGATAAAACTCCACAAGATCCAAACTTTATGACTTAATGACCTCAACAAGGACCAAATATGATGCTTAAAGGTTCTGGATGAAACGCCCGAAGATTCGGGCTAGTCAATTTAGAGACAATAAGCCTCAAAAATAACTTTTTGATAGAAGATTATTAAGAATAAATAGTTTTAACCAAGTTATAGTATATGTCACAAAGGTTTCGTACATATAAAAAAAACGTTGAAATCCGAGTTATAACGAAGAAGTTATGACATGTCGAAGTTTCGTGACAAAATTGGCACGACGTTGTGTGACGTAAAAAGTGAGTTTACGACAAAATACTTTTTAGCCTTAGTGATCTAAACGAAAGTCGTAGTATACGTTAAACCGAGAGTTTGCGTAAAAAGAACGTCCAAATCCGACTTCGTATGAGAAAGTTATGATTTTTCTAAGATTTGACACAACAGTGCACAGCCCGTAAATCGAATTTTAGATCGATCGATTTTTAGCCGACACAACCTAAATAAGAATTGAAGATCTCATTAATAGGAGCTCAACGATATAAAGACAGTCGAAAACGGACGTCGGATGAAAAAATTATGATTTTTTTTATGGATTTTAATTGTCTAAGTCTGTTAAAATATAACTTTATAAATAAAGTCAAAAATTAGTCTACGGAGTCTAAACCAAAGTTGTAGATCCCGCCAATACCTACGCGTGGATATAAAGAACATCAAAAACGAAGCTCGTATGCAAAAGTTACGAAATTTAGAAGAAAATTAGTTTTTGGAGTAACTAGCGAGCGACACGTGGCGCGATCTGAGCACTGCTTCCTCACCACAGCTTGGCACCAGATGATGACACCTAGCCACGAACGCCCATCGTTCGGCAAGGGAACGCCCCGCGTTCGAACCGGAATCATCCTATAAATAGAGGCGCAAATCACCCCAAAAACTCACACATTTCCCATTCTTTCTCTCTCAAACACCCCTCTTATCCCCTCCCAACCCTTAGTACTTCCCAAGTGCTAAGAGGCGAATCCCTGAGCGCCAGAAGGCTCCGAGAAGAAGAGCTTTCGGCTTGGAAGTTTTGCCCCCGCAGAGCCCGGTTTCTAGCCAAACCTCCTAGTAAGCGAGTTATGCTTACCCTACTGTAAGTATACCTTATATTTAAGTTAAATATCGTTATAAAAATTTTAAAATAAGCATTAATAAAAATTTTAAAATGACCGTGAATTTGGGGGATGTCACAGTTGGTATCAGAGCATTAGTTTAAGCGAACTAGGAATTTTAGGAAATTTCTAGACTTAAACTTAGAATGTTAAGCGATGATTGTGATATGAGTGTATGCTATATTTAGGAAGTATGCCTGAATAGATACGAGCACTAGCTTATTTAGGGGAAATACCTAAATTACTTTTATGTGCTAAATGATTTATGCTATGAGATGCCTTATATGCTTTATGATGCTATTGTTTGATCAGATCTATAGCCTATTGCCAACCGGATCTGGAAATTTTATGTGTTCAGATTTCTAAACGTTTAGTTACGGTATTAGAACTGGCATGTAACTTTTCGGAGTAATAAGGAGGATTATGCGTCTAAACCTTCTCTATATTAAATTTCTCGTCTTGAACAACTATTACGGTGTACGGAACGTCATGATAAGGACTCGTACCAGACTGAGCAAATAGAGTAAATAAAAAAGCTGATGATAGTGAATGATACCTATCGGAAGATACCGTGAGAGGGGTATCTTGCCTTTAGAATGCGTCTAATAAATAATACGTCTAGTACGGGAGAAGTACACTTTCGATTTGCAGAAAGAAAGATTTTTGGTATAATCCATGAAGTTATCCCATCATCTGGCATTTCCACCACTAACCGAGTTGAAGCATAATTGATGATTGAAGATACGCATAAAAGAAGTCCTAGTAGAGTCTAGGGAAATTTTTATGATTATTTGGACACATTTGTATGTGTTAAATAGTTTTGTGATTTTAGGAAATAAGAACTTGGGGACTGCGAGACAATACTTGGGACAAGTATGAGTAGGTGTGAAAGGTAGTAGAGGTCTATACTACCGGAAGCACATGACTCACACTTTGATCAGGGGAAAGTCACGAAGTTACCAAGGCGCTAATAATTGATTATGTTGTGTTCATGTCTGTCATTACCATCGTTTCGGTAATGACTAAGAAGATGATTGTTATTCCGACCCTAGTGGTCATATCATATCGATTCCGACTAAGATATGTATTCTATGTGGTTTAGAGAACCAAGATCGATGTAGCATCTGACTTAAGCCAGAATATTGAAATGAAAAATAATCGAAGCGATCAATAGAAGCATCACAACCATTGTTAAGGTAAGAAACTTGTAGCTAGAAGTGCTACATGCTTAAATGTGATTATATCACATTGGATCATGAAGGAAGGTATAATCGGTTCTGGAATTTGACTCTAAAAGACCTGAGTCTAAGCGTTGCATCATACGATGATAGGTCATTAGAACATGACACATCGGGCTATTTATGGTAATCGAAGGAAATAACTTATCCTAATCCTGTTATGAAGAAGAAGGAGTTTCCAATAGGAATCGAGATTGTAACTCGAAGGTTACAATTGAAAGTCCAATATAGTACAAGGAGCAGATGCAAGATTGAGCATCGCCAACAGTCAAGAAGTCCAAGAGTTAGAAACTCATTAGAAAAGAAATAAGAGTTACGGTTATTACCTAGGATGAAAAGATAACGTATGTAGTTATTATACAAGCCCTTTTCTTTGATGATTCCGGGAAGTAATCATCCTAAGGGGAGCTAATTGTAACACCCGCAGATTCGGGCTAGTCAATTTAGAGACAATAAGCATCAAAAATGACTTTTTGATAGAAGATTATTAGAAATAAATACTCTTAACCAAGTTATACTATATGTCACAAGGGTTCTGTACATATAAAGAACGCTGAAATCCGAGTTATAACGAAGAAGTTATGACCTGTCGAAGTTTTGCGACAAAACCGGCACGACGTTGTGTGACGTAAAAAGCGAGTTTGCGATAAAATACTTTTTATCCTTAGCGATCTAAACAAAATTCGTAGTATACGTTAAACCGAAAGTGTGCGTAAAAAGAACGTCCAAATCTGACTTCGTATGAGGAAGTTATGATTTTTCTAAGATTTGGCAAAGCAGTGCAGAGCCCGAAAATCAAATTTTAAATTGATCGATTTTCAGCCGACACAAACTAAATGAGAATTGAAGATCTCATTAATAGGAGCTCAAAGATATAAAGACAGTCGAAAACGGACGACGGATGAAAACGTTATGAATTTTTAACGGATTTTAACTGTCTAAGTCTGTTAAAATATAAATTTAAAAATAAAGTCAAAAATTAGCCGATGGAGTCTAAACGAAAGTTGTATATCCCGTCAATACCTACACGTGGATATAAAGAACGTCAAAAATGGAGCTCGTATTCAAAAGTTACGGATTTTAGAAGATAATTAGTTTTTGGAGTAACTATGGAGCGACACGTGGCACGATCTGAGCCACTGCTTCCTCACCACGGCTTGGCACCAGATGATGACACATGGCCACGAACGCCCAACGTTCAGCAAGGGAACGCCACGCGTTCGAACCGGACTCAGCCTATAAATAGAGGCGCAAATCACCCCAAAAACTCACACCTTCCCATTCTTTCTCTCTCAAACACCCCTCTTAGCCCCTCCCAACCCTTAGTACTTCCCAAGTGCTAAGAGGCGAATCCCTGAGCGCCAGAAGGCTCCGAGAAGAAGAGCTTTCGGCTCGGAATTTTTTCCCCCGCAGAGCCCGGTTCCTAGCCAAACCTCCTAGTAAGTGAGTTATGCTTACCATACTTTAATTATAGCTAATGTTTAAGTTCAATATCGTTATTATGAACTTATAAACAATATATATATATTGTGACAACCCGAAACGTTTCCCGTTATCCTTATCCAGTTTCCGTTAATAAAATTTGGGTTTTTATTTAATTCCGTCAAATTTCTTAGTTTGGGAAGGATCTTCAGTTTTAAATAAATAATATGTATTTTATACGATTCGGAATAAACCGGGAATCACGCGAAAAACTTGAAACTTCTTCGAAAATCACCGAGTTCACGGTCAGGATGAGTTTACGACCGTAAACTCGTGTAGACCGTAAACCCGTTTACGGTCAGGTGGACTCCCCTTCTTTTGACCGAGAACTCTACCCTATATATAGAGTATTTGGCCTTCATTTCACACTTTAAACACTACAAAGGCTTT